TATGTTTTTAACTTAACCGTATAAAATTATTCCTTTCTCTGAACGGCGAAACTAGCCAACAAAACGAAAAAACCTTCACTAGCTATAGCAAAATGTTCAACACTAATGACAGTTCGATGAACGGTACATGTAATACATATGTACAGTATTCAGCATAAAAGACTTAAACTAAACCGCAAAAAAGTATTATGACAAATTCTTTCCTTTTTAAATAACAAAACCTAGCGAAAACAAAAACAGCACTAGGCTTTATTTAAGAATAATAAAAGAATATTTTCAGCCTAAAATCGGTAGAAAAATAAGAATATTCAGCCTGGGCCGGAAAAACAACATTCTTACAAAAAAAAGAGTGTATGCGATTATTTCTTCTTCGGCGTGGTCAGCTCACACTGGCCAATGAGCTTAATGTCTTGGTTTGAGAAAATGAAAGCGTCAGCGGTTGAAATGAAGAAAACGACACAAAGTACTATTGACCGCTTCTTTTTAAAAGGGTAGACAAATGACTGTATAACTGTACAGCATTTTCGAGAGAAAAGACATTTTGCAAACATTAAGCGTTATTATATTTTAACACTACTGTAAAAGTTTTTAGACAACTAGGATTCTGTTATATATTAAAAACATTAGAGATATTAAGATTCACGTTTACGGCAAACCGTTAACTTCGGCCGGATTCAAGTTGAGAATTTCGCAAAATATATTATAAGCATATAAAAACTGTCTAGAACAATTCTTATGGAATGCGATAAAATTGGCGTGGAACTAGTTATTTTTGAGCAGAAGTAATTAAGGGGAAAACTTGGTCACGTGGTACAAATACACGTTTGCCGTTTGGTGTAAACGTGAGTCTTAATCTCTATTATATTTGACAACAAGTTAACATTTTAGCCATTCACGTTATTGGAGGAGTTTCCGTTTGGTTTTTTAAGCGCTTTGTTATGTATCCCTTGCCTTTGATGAGGAGCTTGGAAGAAATAATACAGCATATTTTTTATAATCTGGTTACCTTTAATCTTTTATGGTCCATAATTATAATTAAGGAGTAACAATTGTCGAAACTACATGCTTCTGGGACTTTTACATATTTTTTTACAAGTTTAAGGGGAAAAATTTTTTTTTTCTCTCGTACCCGCTACTACGGACTCTCACTATCTTCCCCCAAGGGTGGCCGCAATAACGGCAGTCGGCTGTAAGTAGTTATCTTTTGTGTTGTACCGACCTGATGTTTTTTTTACAGAACAGTCAATACAATGACAAATGAAACAAAGTAAAATAAAGGTCTAGTAAGAAAGAAAGGAACAACACCTATATATTGAATATCATCATAAAAGAAAAATTACTTGGCTATGTACGGCTTCTACGCTACTCGTATGGTAAGAAAGTTTAATTAGAGTTCGGATTTATAACAATTTAGAATATTTTCAATATAAGAGGCACTAAGATTTATGACGTTTTCATCGCACATAGACATAATATATAAAAATAGAGCCTTGCAGGACACTTTGAATTCCGCACTGCAAGAGACATAGAAATTTCATGTGGGAAAAGGGACATGTCTTGTGAGATCCACTAGGAGGGAAATGTCAGTTTGGAGTATGGAGATGAGTGATACATGTAACCCTTAACCAAAGGCGTTTTTGAGCCACGGCCGTCAACCGGAAGTTAGGGCTTTTCTCTCGACGATATGAAATTTGTGTTGCTCAGCCTCGTTACTCTAAAGCCCCGTGCAAACGGACGCAACATTGTTGGCCAACAACTCCCAACATTGTTGGATGTTACATGTTGCGTCCGTCTGCACACCATGTGGCATGTTGTTGGATATTGTTGCGTGTTGTTGCACAAAGTTTGAAAACGGTCAAACTTTTCAGCCAACAACTCCCAACATTTCCTTTGTTCCGTGATCGCCGAGGCGTAGTGCAACAATGTTGGATCTGTTTGCACAGCTCTTCCAACATTGTTGGGGCCACGCACGCTCATTACACATGGATTACAAAGACTTATGGGTTGTATTCTTCCCACAATGCACTGCAGGTCCCAAACTTGTTGGGAGTTGTTGCACCCGTTTGCACACCACTGCCAACACGCACGCAACAACTCCCAACATTGTTGGCGCAACAATGTTGGGCGTTGTTGCGCCCATTTGCAGGCAGCCTTATAGAGACGATTTGACTGAAAAATTTGGCGAAAAAACTACCGCTCAAGAATGTAAAAAGTCCACTTCCGGTTGACGTGCGTCGCTCAAAAACGCCTTTGTTTAAGTTCCCTAATGATGCTTAATGCATCAATTGAAACCCTGGACCCCGCCCCCCAGGGCATGGAGGGTGATAACGGGGATTTAACGTTTTGGTCCTGGGGGCAGTGGAATTAACAAAATACCTGTTTGACCCAGGCCATGAGCGGGGATTTAACAACACATATTCATTTTTGGAAGCGGGAACTGGCTAAAGGAAAAGCCTCGTTTTCCAAAGTGGTGAAGATGGAAGCACAGAGATGGTGCTGCAGAGAATGGCATGAAAAACAACAAAGAAATGTCAGAAACAGGAGCTAACAGGGTAGGAAGGCACAGATCAGGGGTCAATTTAATTAAACGTTTATAAGTGCAATTTTCAAGTGTAGCTAAAATAATAATTTCAGGCTCTAAAACAATGGCTACAATTGTAAATTAAACTTGTAAAAAATTTTTTAAATTGAACCCAGGTTGCTGGCCTTGTCTCAGACACAGAAAGGGATGGAGCAACATCAGTGTCAAAATTAAGGAGTTAAGGTTACTTGTCACCAGAATACCCAGGATATAAGTCGATCTTCAGAACTAGGCAATTAGCAAAGAAACCAAGTTTCCACTCCTAAAAACCTTAAAGTACACTGCAAGACAACACAAAGTAAACTTTGGAACAGAGAGAAGCACAACAACAGAACGTTTAGGAGACGATTTTTAGCTAAGACCACTGATTTGCAAGTCAATAATGAATCAGTGGACGGAACAGGAAATGTTAGAGGGAAAAGTTTAGCATGCAAGTTTATTCACAACGTTCGCTTAGGTGTAAGTAGTTTAAGCCGTACTAGAGACAGTGGAGTGTATATTTCACCAGTGACAATCACCCCCTGACCAGTTTCGCTGATGAGTATTATTGATCGCGTTTTGTTCAAGATTTCACACACACAAAACTTCTACATTGGTCGAGCATTGCTTCACAAGGAGCGGGTTCACAACTCTTATTGTTCACCTCGTACGTAAACGACAAAGCGCTTTGTAAGTTTCCCGATTCCAGTTCTATTACTTTTACGGTTAGAAAATCACAAACGCATTGTTAACTTTGTCGAACCGCCCGGAGAAAAAGTAAAGGGATTATGGAAAAATTTAGAAAAAAAGCTAAATAGAAAGCCATGAATCTTGACTTCATTCCTACATTTAGAAAATAAACAAGATGATAAAACATTCTAGGTATGTATGCCTGCCCAATCACGCAAAACAAGGGGAGTGGTCACAACATTTGTATAGCCCATGAGTATGATATGGCAAGTAGAACTAATGTTTGAACAGTGGAAAAGCTACTTTTCATGTAGTGCAGTACTAACAAGTATATACCATACAGATGTTAAGCGATAACCACATTTTTCTGTCTTGACTCTAGAGGTCCGTTCTCAGGAATTAGGTGCGAAAAAGTCATGAATAGAATTTTCAAGTAGCGCAGTCAAAAGTTTCTGTTATTAGGTCCGTTGGTTTGAATTTAAATACAGTCGAACCTTCCGCAAACGACCACCCAAAATGCGAAGACTTAGAGCTCTTACGAGGGAGGTGGCCCGTTTACAAGAATCGAAGGAGGTCGCTTACAGGAGGTTCCAATTACAGGGCTTTGACTGGGACCGAAATTTGCTGTTTTGGATAGGTGGCCGCTAATGGAAAGTAGTCGCTTACGAAAGCTGGTCACATAGAGGTTCGACTGTGAATAGAGAATTGAGTCGGTCTTGAGTCGTCTGATGTACGTACACCATGATTGAATGAAATGCCGTACAAGTCAAATTTCACGGCATTTGCTGACTATAGTTAAAAAAATATGGTTGACTTTTATTGAAATGAGTCCAGCAGTGTGACCAGTTCTGAACTGCTTTAGGCACGATTACCAATCACTGTTAGGGAAAGGAGCCCTTTCTCGGAGAGGAAAAACGCCGAACCCTAGAGATTCGAGCATCGAACAACTAATGCCCTGCTGCACAGCATGGTACGGGGTCTTTAACAAACGTCTTGGCCCGGCGAGCGGGAAAAATAGCGGGGTTTTAACACCAGACCAACGTTTAATTCCCCGCTAAGTTCCGGGGGTCGGGGGAGGGCATGAGTTTCAATTGACTGATGCATAAGCGCTAATGAAAAGCGGTTTGAGAACGTATGATCTGCTTCGATAATATGCATATGTAATTATGCCTATCATAGGAAGTATAAACTGAGTCGGTTGCAAAGTAGTCTGTAGCATGTTCAGTTTATGCAATATAAGAGTACAAGTTGTAAAAATTTATCTGTTTGTTTGCTGCACCGTATGATTTAATTATGTTGTTATTATTTCAAATAAGCTTTCGGTTGTGACGTTAAACAGTGGATATCCTTTCATAGACGGGGGGATAGGGTTCAACGAACCTGTCGATCCGAATCGATCCGTACGTGCTAATGAGTGGGTAAGAAAAACATTAATAATTCCTCATGTTGTTTTATTTTCCTACACGTCTACTTTCTTTTGCAAGCATCAACTTAAGATACCTTTAAAAAAGTTCACCAGATTATATCACTTAAGGCTCCAACGGAAGTACTGGCTTTGAATGTTTATTTTAACTTAAAGATTCTAATTGGTAGTTCTTGAGCGTGACCTGGTGATCAAAAACAAAACTTTCTTCCGCATTGCATGAAACAAATCATTTACATTTACGTCATACATCACGCCACCAATCAGTTGTGTAACAAACAAAGTATAAATCTTGAGTTATCTCGCTTTTCTATCAGATCAGTCTTT